CCTGATATATGAGAATGTTGATTTAGGAAAAAAATTAATTACACTAAAGATTACTTGAAAGTACCTTTAATTATCAGAAATCATATGTGCACTTAGCATTCAATTTGGGGAAAAATTAACTCATACAACTTTTCATACATTTTGCATTTTGTATAGCCATAATGAATTAACACAGACCTGAATACATCAATTGTCTGGCCTTAAAAGGCGTAAGACATGATACATACCTGTATTTCCTTTAAGAGACTGAGATTCCTATTATCAGATGTGACATCTCTATGACACTGAGAAGTTAAAGAATGTGTTGCATGTGATTTTATGGGAAGTAAAAATTGAAGCAATACTTTCTAAAACCACTTCATAGGCTTTTTTTTTTTTTAAGGCTATATTTTCATTTAGATATGGCATAGCTCTGAATTATGGATAATATTTCACAGAAAATGACTGGTGTTGATTTTAATCATCTATATCTGCTATGTGGCAGTGCACACTCGTGAGAAAGTCCAAATTAGAGCCACGTTATATGGAAATGTAGTGATGGCCTTTTATATCCAGCCACGTTAGAAAAGCACCTTGGGTACTAACATCCTCCTTCACAATATTCAGAAAAGAAGAAACAAACCTGGTGTGCGATTTGTTCACAGAGTGTTTCTAGATTTGTTTTTTAAACAAGCAATTTTATACATTTTTTTTTCAAGGAAAAGAAAATTCAGTCTATAAAAAGGAAAAACATACTCTTAACAATGGAAGAACAGATAGATAGTATGAAATAAAGGAAAGCTGGTATATATATATTAGGTTTCAATGGTCTTTACTATAAAGATGCCTAAATCATTTAGAAAAATAAGTTGAGAAGAGGATGAATTACATTCTAGTGTTATTAAATATGTCCTTCAATAGAAGGATTCCAGAGAAGTCTTTTGAGAAGAGGGTTAAGAGTGATAGAGCAGAAGGATCTCTGATGTCAGAGTTGGAAGTGCCTGAGAGGATGAACCATGAGGTTCAATGCTCTCTACAGGACATTACCCTGTCCTGCCTCCACTACCATGACTCTTCAATGGAACTTCCACAGTATAATCATTAGATCGGTAACTGTATGGTAAAGAGTATCCCATGCAACAATATAACTAGAAAGGTCCCTCTATATTAATGCTACCATCTGTAATATCAGGATTACCTTTTTCTATTGCTATCACTTTTTTCTATTATATATTCCTACTTTTACCTTGAGCTCCATTCAATAAATCTGTTTCAACATTCTGAATTAAGTTGGGTACATACATCTGTATTTGTGTACACCCAATAGCCAATTAAAATTTAAAATATATTTTATTATAAACAAAAACTCCATTCTGGACTCTTCCTTAAAAAAGAGTCCAGCATGGAGTTTCTGCAAAGATGCATTTGAGGAATTTTATTAGAAAATGCCCAGGAGTTAAATGAAACATATTTAGAAGAAAATCTGAATCCTGTTTAAATTCTGTTCGCATTAGAAAGCTCAGCTGTCCCATATGAAAGAATAAATTTGAAACTATAGTTTGGACATCTTTGCCGAATCATTTCTACCTTGATCTGATCTCACCTCATGGTGGTTTCTATGGTTCTGCCCTCTTAAAGTTTAAGCTAAAAGAAACAAGGGCTTCAACAATTCAGACAAGATACAAATAGCACATAAAAAGGACCGTGAGGGAAAAGGAGAATAAAGGCCCTTTACATCCTCAACATCAAGGCACAGGAAGAGTCTGTAAAAAATCTCTTGTTTACAGGACCCACCACTCTGGATTTTATGCGGGAGTAATATTTATTAAGTGGCATCAGTTGTACCCATCTTTCTGGTACTGAGCAATTAAACACTCTATACTCAAGCTAGCTGTTCAAAGGAATGCAATTACGCCGTGTTTTCTCAGAAATAATTCTCTGAATCCAAACATTTTTCAGAAAAATAAATAGATCTCAGATATTAGGGGGAGCCATTTAAATGTTTCTTGTTGATTCCCTAATGTTACAATGTCTTTGCCATATATAAATCATTTTATATAAAATAGCTAGTATAACAGAGTCACATGTGATAATAATCGCTTATAACTTACAACATTTCCTCATTACAGACACTTCGTTTTCTTTGGGAAGTGTTTAAGCAGGAAGGAAACTGCACGGAGAAAAAGGGCAGGATAAAACACTTAGAAGCGTGTCTCTTGATTACTTACAAGGTAGCCTTCCGTGGTTGCGTATCTTTACTTCCACTGCTCTTCACGTCAGCTGAGTTACTTGTCCCGCGTGAAGTGCCTGGTAATGCAGTATTAGGAGAAAAGGAGGTTGGAAGGCTACTGGCATTACGGGTCCGGAATGAATCATCTGAAAGCAATATATGTTTAGACAGATATATTGAACACACCAAGAAAGGTATTAACCTTGGAGAAGAAAAGGTTAAAGCTGATATTTTTTTCTTTTTAAATCAACTCGATTAAGGTGTAATTTACATACAATAAATGCACAAATTTAACCATACAGTATGTTAAGTTTTGACATATACGCCCATGAAGCCATCCCACAATCAAGATAATGAACATACCCATCACTACCGTAAAGTTTCCTCATGCTCTGCTTTAAATCCTGCTTCCCCTCCCTCCCGCTATGCCCAGGCAACCACTGATTTGCCTTCTGTAACTATAGATTACTTTGCATTTTCTAAAATTTTATATAAATGAAATCATGTAATTATTTCTTTGTCTGACTTCTTTCATTCAAGATAATTATTTTGAGATTCATTCATGTTATTGTGTCTATCAATACTTTATTCCTTTTTATTGCTGACTAGAATTACATAAATGGAACTTGTTTATCCATTCCCCTGTTGATAAATATCTGGATTGTTTCCAGTTTGTATTAGAAATAAAGCTGCTTTAAACATCTGTGTACCAGTCTGTGTGTGGATGTACGTTCTCATTTCTCTTCAGTGAATGTCTAGAAGTAGAATTGCTGGGAGACAGCCCTGGTGGTGCGGTGGTGAAGAGCCTGGCCGCTAATCAAAAGGCAGTTGGAATCCACCAGCCGCTCCTTGGAAACTATATGGGGCAATTCTACTCTGTTCTGTAGAGTTGCTATGAGTCAGTATCAACTAGACAACAACAGGTTTTTGGTTTTTATATATATATAGATAGGTAGATATCTCCCTCTATATATAAGAGACGGCCAACTGTTGTCCAAAGTGATTGTACCCAGCAATATATGAGAGTTCTAGTTATTGCATATCCTCACAAACACTTGGTATTGTAAACCTTTTTAATTTTAGACATTCTAGTGGTATGTACACCATGTCATATTTATCATTTTTCCATCTTGCATTTCCCTAATAATTAGTGATGCTAAGCATCTGTCATGGATTGAATTGTGTCCCCCCAAAATGTGTGTCAACTTGACTAGGCCATGGATCCCAGTATTGTGACTGTCTACCATTTTGTCATCTGATGTGATTTTCCTGTGTTGTACATCCTACCTCCGTGATGTTAATGAGGCAGGATTAGAGGCAGTTATGTTAATGAGGCAGGACTCAAGCTACAAGATCAGGTTTTGTCTTAAGTCAATCTCTTTTGAGATATAAAAGAGAGAAGCGAGCAGAGAGATGGAGACCTCATACCACCAAGAAACAAGAGCCAGGAGAATAGTGCATGCTTTGGACCCAGGGTCCCTATGCTGAGAAGCTCCTCAACCGGGGAAGACTGATGATAAGGACCTTCCACCAGAGCCAACAGAGGGAGAAAGCCTTCCCCTAGAGCTGGCACCCTGTGGACTTGTAACCTACTAGACTGTGAAAGAATAAACTTCTGTTTATTAAAGCCATCCACCTGTGGTATTTCTGTTATAGCAGCACTTGGTAACTAAAACAGCATCTTTCCATGTACTATTTGCTTATCTTCTTTTGTGAAGTGTATGTTCAAATCTTTTGCCCATTTTACAACTGAGCTGCCTTCTTATTATTAGGTTTTAAAATTTTCTGTATATAATCTGGTTACAAATTGTTTGTTAGGTATATGTATTATGAATATTTTCTCCAATCTGTGTCTTTATCTTCTTGATGCTCTCTTTCAAAGAGCATAAGTTTTACATTTTGATGAAGTCCAATACATTAGTATTTTTCTTTATGGTTAGTAGAAATCTTTGTTTATTCCAGAATTACAGAGGCTTTCTTCTATATTTTCTTTCAGAAATTCCATAGGTTTAGCTTTTAGGTTTACAATCTATTTTGGGTTAACTTTATGTATAGTTTAAGAATTGAGGTCCATTTATGTTTCATACGGATATCCAATTGTTCCAGCACCGTATTTTTGAAAAGACTATTCCATCACCACTGATTTATCTTGGAGCCTCTGTTGAAAATCAATTGACCAAATATGTCAATATGGTCACACTGTCTTGATTACTAGAGCCTTAGATAAGTGTTGAAATCAAGTAGTTTAAGTTCTCCAACTTCGTCTTTTTCAAAACTGTTTTGGCTGTACTAGGTCTTTTGCATTTTGACATAGATTTTAGAATCAGCTTATAAATTTCTGCAAAAAGACTGCAAGAATTTTTATTGTATTGAATCTGTGGATCGATTTAGAAAGAACTGACATTATAATATGTTAAGTCTTCCAATCCATAAACATGGTTTATCTCTCCATTTATTTAGGTCTTTGATTTCTTTCAGCAATGTTTTGAAGTTTTTAGTGTATATATTACACACATTGTGTCAAATTTATCCCTAAATACTTAATGTTTTTGAAGCTCTTGTAAATTATATTTTAAAATATACTTTCCCAACGGTTTAGATTTACAGAAAAATTGAGATGATGAGTACAGGGAATTCCCACATACCCTTCTTACAATTTCCCTTATTATTAAGATTTCACATTAATAGGCTACATTTACTACAATGAATGAATCAATATTGATACATTATTATTAACTAAAGTCCACAGATGATTCAGAATTCCTTATTTTTTATCTAATGCCTTTTTCAGTTCCAGGATCCCATTCAGATTACCACATTTCATTTAATTGTCATGTCTACTTAGGCTCCTCTTAGCTATGACAGTTTCTCAGACTTTCCTTGTTTTTGATGACCTTGATGGTTTTAAGGGACATTAGTCAAGTATTTTGTAGGATGCATATGATCACAGTGAAGACCTACTGTTCTTTACGTTCTTAAAAATGATTGCAAAACTATTTAGTCTATGTTTCAGCAGGCCCTTAGACTATGATGAAACTTATCCTATCATTTTGCCATTTTTCTCTTCTAAAAGTATTGAACTATGGGCCTTAGCACAGTGAAAACAAAAGTAACACATATAGTCAAGTATCTCCTCAATTGCTAGGGGAAAGTTTCATTTCTAAGGGATTTGATAAAGACAAATTTAGGAAAAACACTGTATCTAGGAATTTTTTTTAAATCAGGTTACTTAAAGAACATCATGTTTTAAAAATTTATCATGTTTTGGAAGCGCTCAGATTGCTACTTACCAGTTACTGAAAGTACAGAACTCTTTGTTAACCCTGAGACAGGAGGTGCATATCCTGCTGCAGAACTTTTACTAGAAAAGAACACAATTTAGTTTAAAATGCAAGAACACGCTCCTTTGAATCATGGTCACCTAGTACTTGGTCTGTTTTAGCCCTGTTCCCTTTTTAAAACACTTTACTTCTTATGAAATATTTTTGCTGCTTTTATTTCTCATTTATTTTTACATTCCAGGTCTCATAACCCATGCTTTTTAACTTAAAAGAGCTTTTTTAAACCTTTGCATCAGAATAACAGTTTTTCTTTTAATCCTCAGCTAACACAGGTGAGATGGGTAAAATTTTCTTGGCAACAACTGACCTTTATTTCTAATCCCTTTTGTCCATCTTGAGATCACCCTATTAGATAGGAACTCTAGATGGGTGTACTGAAAATGTCCAAAAATTGCTGAAAATCTGGAATAGACTGTCTTTAATAAAAGAAAAATGTGTGGGTGTTTTTTCTTTTCTTGTATGACATTATTTATCTTGATAAATGAATACTTCTAAAAGCATTTATACTTTCTTAAAATTATTTTGCTTGTCAATTGATATGCAGCTGTTATATACTGTATTATACAGCACTTATAAAAAAATCATAAGGAGCCCTGGCAATACAGCTTGGCTGCTAACCAGAAGGTCAGTGGTTCGAACCCACCAGCTGCTCCATGGGAGAAAGATGCGGCAGTCTTCTCCCATAAAGATTTACAGCCTCAGAAGCCTTATGGGGCAGTTCTACTCTGTCCAATAGGGTCGCTATGAGTCGGAATCAACTCAATGGCAGTGGGTTTGGTTTTTGGTTAATAAAAAAATCATAGTTGTTTAATTAATGCTAATTCTCTCCTTATATTAACTGTTTATAATTTTGTTTTCTGAGCTGAGTGGAAAACCAGACATGCATCATTTTTCAAGGGAGCTCTGTTATGATACTTTACCAAAGGAACATGCCAGTGGCTTCTTAATAGACAGAAACAATATTAATAGCAAATGTATTTATGTATTAAATGGCTCCAGTATACCCACATCCATTTAGAAGTATCAGATGTAATATAGCACCACCTTCCTCATAAAACCATACATGGATTCTGTGATATTATTAAGTACTGCAATGGTACTATTCTTCCTGGAATGCTAGGATACCTGTTCTTAAACAAATTAGAAGACTTCTATTTTTTTAATGTAACAATCTTTTCAGAAGAAAACTAATCATTGTCCTATAAAAAACACACAATTAACTTGGTTTATTTTCATAATAATGTAAATACTTCACATAAATAAAGATGTGCGACTATAAAATAAAAAATCAAATTAAATAGTTAGTAGCTGACAGATCATACCTAGCACACTTGTCTAAGTTGCCATATTTTGCGTGAAAAGCTTGATTATTAAAAGACTGGCTTCGAATCAATTTGGATTTCTTGATTTCTTTGCCTAGAGTAATAAACAGAAATAAGGAAAATGCAATTGTTCAATTCATCCTTGTCTGCCCTAATTCCCATTCCCTCCCCAGCCACCATCATTTTCAGTAAACACAGATGAGTTAAGCTTTCTTTTCTTAGTTTGAGCTGATTGGAATATATCTTTGTTGTACCCATTAAGAACTACCAAAACAACTAACAGTAAAAGGCACGAGGTGCTTGAGAACAACATATCACATTTAATAGAGTGACTCTGTCTGAAATTAGGATTTATAAAAGAGACATAAAGTGATTTCTTACTTGTCGATGGGTTGGCAGAAGAGGGTCCAGGAACAGAAATAGGGATGCTCTTGGGCAGATTTGTTGATGTCTTGGTATCTCTACCTAAAATAAAGCCTGTTTTAAGTTCTACAATTTCCTCTAAGTCCTTATTAAGCTCTATAAATATATAAGACAACACAGAAAATATAAACCACTATCCCTGGATAAGCAGCATTCTTTTCCAAACATTTGTACTTTACATATTTTGATCTTTGTTACTCAGTGATCAATATCACAATCTTATTATTGCTTATTACTATCAGAGTTACCTTAAGCTTTCCTTTTTTGTTGTTTATTTATTTATTTGGTGAAAATATACACAGCAAAAGATACACCATTTTAACAAACTCTGAAAATGATGGTAGCTGGGGAGGGAATGGGAATTAGGGCAGCCAAGGATGAGCCGAACAGTTGCATTTTCCTTCCTTCTGTTTATTACTCTAGGCAATTCGGTGACATTGTTTACATTCTTCAAGTAGTGTAACCATTCTTGCAGTCCTTTTCCAACTTACTCT